TATTTACTTATTTGACAGCCAAAACTCAATTTCCAGTTTTTTCACAATTACTAGTCTATTTGCCATTGTCATATTCATTATTAGCTCTTTTTTTGTCTACTCACACTGTCCATCTTCAAAAATAAACAATAATTCAGTCTTTGGAGAGAATTCTATTACTGTTTGTAAAGGATTTTTTTTATGTTTCTCTAAATCCTAACTTCCAAAGTTTTGCTGTAGCATCACATTCACACCACATATAGAAATAGGTACCTACATCTTTCCTGTATCTCCAAGAAGTTTTAGAATATCTAGAGTTGAAGTTACTTCATTTCACGGGTATCAAATACCATCCCCAAATCATTTTGTAATTGTTTTCTTTTATTCTGGCATAGTTATTAAAATGCTGTTTTTAAATATGCTATTCCATGTGTCGATACTTATTCCCTTAGCCACATCCCTTTCCCATGTTGTTTTTAAAAATTCTTGGCAATTTTCAGCATCTTATAAATCCCAGTCATCAACCCTTTCATTAGTTTATCCTGTTCTTTCTCTCTTTGAACTACTGACTCCTCAAACGTCTTCATTTCTCAACAACTGCTATTTTATATTCTCGAAGGCTTTCAATAGTGACAGATCATCTCCCCCCCCCTTATCACAACAATACACCCACAACAAAAAACACGCTGATCACCATAATCACCCAATCTCCTGAAAAGGACAAAAGCTGATCCAACAGCTATAAATACTCCCAAACAAACTGCACCAGAGCACAGAGTGCTACTCCTGTCCTCTGAAGATGCTGGCCACAGAGACTGGCAAAACATTAAGAAAAACCTTCAGAGTACGGCCAAACAGCTTGAAAAACCTACAACCAACTGCTATTTTGCTTTTCTGATTTTTTATCTCAGTGATCTAAGTGAATTACATTAAACTATGTCATTTTCTTTCCTTCTAATAATTTAATTTTTCTTTAACGTTCATTTTTTCCTAATCAGTCTTTTAACCTATATACCTGTTTCCTCTTCAATAATTTCTGAAAAACTGCTTTCAGTTTTTCTAGAAATTTTTCTAATTTAATTATAGGTGTTAAAGGTGAGGTAGGCGGATAAATTATTTGTCTATATTTAGTCCAAATTTGAATCATATTTTTCAAAAAGGGATTTTCAATTTTTTTATACTTATTATCTCCGCTAAGTATTATATATTCTATATTACTTCTAACTTCTTGTACTTCCAAGCCATACCAAATCATGGTTTCTGGGGAGGAAATAATATCAGAAATAACTTTTACCTGATTCGTCGGTCAGTAAACTTTTATATTAGGAAGACCAAGTCCTCCTCCTCCTCCTCCTTCTTCTTCTTCTTTTTTTTTTTGATTGATACCGTATTTTATTTATCGGAGCTCTTCTATGACCTTTAATAAAATTGTTAATCATACATTGCCACTCTTTTAATGCTCCATCCTTTACTATTATGGGTAACATCCAGAATAAAATAATTACCGTATTTTTCGCACCATAAGACGCACTTTTCCCCCACAAAACAGGGGGGTGGAAAGTCTGTGCGTCTTATGGAGCGAAGAAAAGAGATTATATTTTCCTGTTTTCTTCTCCTAAAAAATGGGTGTATCTTATGGAAAGGTGCGTCTTATGGAGCGAAAAATATGGTAGTTTTTATATGATGTTCATTTTACACAATTCGCCTGAACCAGGGTAGCTTGCAATTCGCCCGAACCAGGATAGCTTGGTGTTCCTATAATCTTTTCATTTATTTTCCCTTCTAATGCTATGTTTCCATAATTCTTATATTTTGTACTTTTTCTGTAAGATATATCCCTAAGTATTTTATACTATTCATTTCCTTACTACAAAGTTTTTATTTTATCAATATTTTTTCTTCCTTACTACAATTAAATAGCATCATTTTTTAATTCCAGTTTATCTGTAGACCAGTTATATAGTCAAAATATGACAAATGAGCTTTTATATGATCCAGAACTCCCTGTGGATCCTTTATTGTTAGTAATATGTCATCTGCAAATAGGTTAATCTTAAATTTGTCCTTTTGACCTATTGTTGTTTAGTCATTAAGTCATGTCTGACACTTTGTGACCCCATGGACCAAAGCACACCAGGCCCTCCTGTCTTCCACTGCCTCCTGGAGTGGGGTTAAATTCATGTTGGTCGCTTCGATGATACTGTCCAACCATCTAATTCTCTGTCATCCCCTTCTCCTCTACAGAACTACAAAACTTTAATGTTCACAATGAGGAAATCAGAATAGCTAGAATTTTTTATACCTTGGTTCAAATATCAATTCAAATGGAGACTGCACTCTACACACAAGAGACCTTCTTTGTAGGAAAATCACTGCTTGTGAACTAATGGGTCCTTCCTTCCCTCCCTCCCTCCCTTCCTTGTTTTCAAGTTCTATTGTTTTAAACAGATGTGACTTCCAAGTAAATGTCACGGAACTACAGTCTTTTAACTTAAAGAGTAATTTCAGAATGGGAAGGTTTCATGTTTTAAGTGGACCTAGATGCTAGGGTTCTTCCAAAATCTCTTTGTCACCAGGATCCAAGCCAAAACTGAGAAATTCTGTCACCATAGTCGCACCAAATGTTCATCCCCCACCACAACCTGTTTTGGTGTTTGGCTGTTGGCATGCACCAAATGTTCATCCCCCACCACAACCTACTGTTTTGGTGTTTGGCTGTTGGCACTAAGGGACAACTTGTAATGTACGTCATGCTGACCTTACCACAAAGCAAAGTAACCTGCTACAGGCAGCACCATGGGGCATCAGCTAGGAGTAGATGGAGGTAGGAATCGGTGCCTAAATAGGATAGGCAGATTAAACATTGGCCGTAGATGTGGGGATGGGTGGACAACATTTAGACTAAGCTTTATACAGTGAAATGTCTTGTAACTGCCTGGGCCTTTCAAAGCCTGACCCTACAAGCTGTTGAATTAGTTCTTCACTCCCTCTTGATTATCAAAATGTTTGTTTTTCCAGAGATATATTTAGTTGGCACATGTTCCACCAGCAGAGCCCCTGATACATTTCTGCAAGCAATTCATGTCTAGTTTTTCTCATGGCATGTACATCTGTAGTTTTAATAATTGCTTGTAATTCTTGGATGTTATATCACCCCATTGCTAGTGAGGCATTTGTTTGTGCAATGCTTGTCAGGCACACATTCATGTTTCACTTCATTGGCCTTACAAATTGTCGGCTGATTGTTTGTTGTTTGTTTGGTGATTCAACTTGTGTGAAAGACGCTGAACAGCAGAATACATTTTTCTAGAATGATAGGAACATGAACTCCGGAGGCTGTCTTATATTAAGTGAAATCCTTGTTCCATCCAGCTCAGTCTTGTCAAGAACGAAGGATGACAGCTGTCTAGAAATTTTGGGCAGGTTTTCTAGCCCTCCCTGGAGATGCAAGGGGCTAGATACTGGGGGATCTTCTCCATACAAAGCACATATTCATGCACTGATAGCCCCTTACTGTTATGTTATGGACCTCTTTTGTTTTGGCATCTGACCCAAAATAACTGAGGATGAACTCTCAGAAATTCCATTTCTCAGTTTCAGTCATGAAGATGTGGAGGTTCAGCCATTTTGGGCCCTATTCACATTTGCATGCATAGCACTGGAGAATTTTAGCATCAGCAAAGGACGGACTTCTACTTTTGAAAGCCATCACAGACCAAATGCCACCATTTGTTTCTTTTCATCTTAAACTTTTTAAAGTGGACACAGAAAAAATGCAAGTCCAAACTAGATATACTAAACCTGGGGGTTGGGGAGCATTTTAAACAACAAAGGAAATCTGGCAAGGAATGTGAAACACAGCCCCTGCTTAACTATTCCTAAAGCTTTTCTCCCTCAGCCAGGCATTGGGGGGGGGGGCGCAGGGCTGTAGGAAGATGAGCAGTAGGCACAGAGGGAAGATTTTAACCCCCTTCACTTTTGGCGTTTACAACCGGGCCACCTGACTTATTCCAGCATGACTGGGTTCATTCTTCATTGATATAACCAGAACCAACCACAAGCATTATGTATTCCTTTGGCCCTCAGTTTTCAGCCATAAGGTACTGGGAGAACAAGGGATGCATAGGCATTTCGAGGAAGAGGGGAAAATATTTCCTGTCTGACATATTCAGCAGAAAAGAAATGGAAAATATAAATATTTCTTTTATATATGCAGGTCTACCTTTATTGTGTATACACATGTTTATGTTTTAAGTTTGGATTGCTTCCTTTTTTAAAAAAAACTTGTCAAAGAGATGTCAAATGAAAACCATACAGTGATGGAACTTACATCGTTCACAACATTCTCTGGATCTTATTTTTTTTATATATATATATTTCAGAGAACCAAAAGAGACTGCTTCCTTAAGAAAGGGTTTGGGTCAAAGAGATAATTTGCATAAATTCTAGAAAATGGTTATCCTTACATCCCACTAGCGTATTTTGGACTTTTACATTAATTCATAGGTAATGTTGATACGCAACTTTCATAAATCATCTTGAACCCAAGTTGAAAGTGGGTAATTTGGTCTTTGCATCTACTGAGATGCATGGGAAATAATGACTGCTGAGTGTCCTAAATGAATGTTCTGTTAATGGTGACTAATGATGGAGACTGTTGAAAGTCAGAAAAATGATACCTGTGATCATGCTACTAATAAATTATAGCCATTATGAAGATGCTGCAGACAATATTTCAATTACAATCAGAATTATCTACTTTCATCCTGGCTTCCCCACTTGCATCTGGCTGTAGCCCTCATTTTCCCAAAAAATGGACCATTTTATGAAAAATTAAAGGAGAGTTCCTATGGGGCACCTTCTGTCCAATGTATGTTCACAAATATTAAGTAAAACTGGCCCTCGTTATAAATGTTCTTGGGAAACCAGCTTATTTAAGCTTGTATGTTGTCTGAGGAATGTCTATAGTTGCTGGTTTGTGAGGCAGACTTTCACAGAAAAAACTATCTTTGTCGTTACAGTGGATTTTCCAGCATTAGAGAGTGATGTTTCAATTCATGGTGGAGGCTTTGGAGAAGATATTGAAGATGGTAAGTATGAGATACTGTACTTTGATACATATAACAAACACGTTACAGAGACATGGTGATTCTCCAGTGTTTTAATCGCAATTGTGCTTTAAGTGCCTTTCTCAACCTTTCACAATAGACAATGTACAATCACTGGCTGCTGATCACAACATCTATGTTACCCTGGAGTCAGAGCCAGGATGGCTCTGAAGACTAATTCCTGGGAAACTGTGTCAGGAGATAGCAAATACCTTCATGTCTGGCTTATGTGCTTCCTGCAGATATCTGGCTGTTCACTGAGTTTAAAAGGATGTGGGCCTTTGGTCTAATTTAAGAGAGCTCTTCGTATTCCAGAATAAATTCCCAGGAGAAAAATCTGTCTCTAAACTCAATAATCAGAAAGAACATTAATCAAAAAGGTCACAGATTGATAATAATTAAACACATGTACACATAAACAGTCTAAGTCCATTCACAAGCTATAATTTTGGGATGGGGTATATAAAATGGCTGAGAGATATTTGCAGTGGTGTGGTTCATTCATATTACCAAGGACCAGCTCCTCTTTAGCTAGCAGTCCATTGAAAGTCTACGCAATATACATGGAATGTGCTACATGAAGTAATGGAACCATTACAGTCATATATTTCTGGAAGCCAGAGTTAAGATGTCTGGGTGAGTACGCGAGTGGACTTCAGCAGAGGCTGCATCATAAACTACAAGCAGATTTGCTATAGATCCAATGAAAAATCTTAGAACTTTATTCAGAGTTTGGTCAAGCTCAGAAATTCTTGTCTTTTACTAGCTGAAATCCAGAAGTAAGTCAGCCCAATTAATTAATGGAACTTACATAAGTGTTAACTCATCAGATTCTCAGTGATTCAGTGGGTCTACTCTAGTTGTGACTTACCATTGTGTTGCTCTTACGAACTAATTTTCCACTTTTAAATTATCTGGAAAACCCAATGGTCTGGAATCTATTCAAAGACCACAGATACAGGTCACACTCTTTCCTTATTTAGTTAATTTATATCCTAAATTTGACTGGCATCCTGAAAACAGCTTGTTAAGACCTATGTAAATGTCAGCCTTTTGTTTCACTTCGTCCCCCCTTCATGTGCCCCAGCACCTACCTTACTCGCTTTGGGCTTCCTCTTCCTCTCTCTCCTCTCCTGCTGCTGCCCAGCTGAGTAGGACAGTAGGCTGTGTGGGGCCTACTTTCTGCCCTGGTAGGATAGTTTTGCTGTCCATTGGGCTACGTATAGCAGTGGTCCCTAACCTTGGGCCTCCAGATGTTCTTGGACTACATCTCCCAGAAGCTTTCATCACCACCTGTGTTGGCCAGGATTTCTGGGAGTTGAAGTCCAAGAACCTCTGGAGGCCCAAGGTTCAGGACCACTGACATGTAGGGAACCCTCAAAGAACTACTGTACTCTTCACACAATAAGCCTCTCAGGAAGCATTGGGGCAGGAAGTAGCCCTCACACAGTCTACTGCCCTACCTAGCTGGGCAGTGGGAGAGTGGCAGAAGAGAAGAGGAGGCCTGGGAGAAGGAAGGTGGATGCTGGGCCCCATGAACTACACAGAAAATCCCCTTTCATTTAGAGGTGGGCCTGAACCAAACTCACCATGAACCAATTGGGTTTTTTTTTAAACAAAATTTGCATGGGTCATGGTCACCAACAAAACATCTAGAACTGACATTGTGCCAATTCGTGCTCAACTCTAGTCAACACTGATGGACACAGACATAAATAGAAACCCAAACTAGCAAGCTGATAAAGTAGAAAGCAATCAGATTTTGTGTCACTATACATGGAGGGAACAGTCTTTGCTCGTTTTTTTAGCATATGTTTTTTTTTTCTTTAAGTGCCTTAAAAGGTATGTAGTGGGTTTAAGAAGTATTAGAAGTAAAGAGATAAATTATGTTTAGAGGAGGAGTGAAGAAAATGGTATTAATGGAAGAAAACAAATTAAAGAAATTTAACATTAGAAGTACTTAGATTGTCACCTTACAGAATACAGACCTCTGCTCGAAGGGCTGGTTAATGCAATAGCTTAAAGGTAATGAACTCTAAAATTGGAAAGCAAGAACCTTAAAGTTGCCCATCGATAGATAGCTCTTGAGCAGAAAACTGAACAGATGTTCGTACATCATAGCTGTAATTTCACAATGCGCAATTCCTCTTTTCCAGGCAAAATATAAGTAGACAATGTCACACCTATGCCAATGTACAATATGCCACTCAATAAGTACTATGGAAGATTTTTTTATGGCAGCTGCCCTAACACTCTTGTGTTAGAAAATTCTACCATCTGAGCTTTGCAATTTTCTTTTTGTTTTCTTTTTCTTTTTTTGAATCTTTATATGAAAGAACAGAAAAGCAACAACAAAATAATAGTACAAAACTTTCACTAGAAATGCACAATCTGACATAGGATCTTTACATCATTGTAATCTGCAACAGATTAGAATATTTATTTATTTATTTTATTTGTACCCCGCCTATATCACACTAAAGATTGATGTGGGAGGCTGGTGAAAAATAAATCTTATTCTTACTAACATTACAAAAATTAAAAGAAATTGTGTGTTGAAAAAAAATCATCTTGGGAGTGTGGTTGTTTAAGTAATTTGAACTGGTGTGTTAATGTTACTATTAGGGCAATATGCCATGTTCAGTTTCTCCATGCACCTAAAGACAAATTACAAACGTGCTGCCATACAGAAAAAGATAATCAATTGTTTATGAATTAGCTGCTAATTATAGCCTGTAAATAAGGACAGAAAGCTAGATCTGGTAATCTTATATCTTTTTTGCCTTGTGATTAATTGTATTTCTGTAAAAACTCTGGATCGCAACAACTGGATAGGAGGTCATGTCCACCACATATGAATCTATATACAAACATTCCCACATTTCTTCTAACACACCTAAGTGACCTGACTTGAACATAATTTGACAGGAGTGGTGTAAAATACCACCTGTACAGAAGGTTAATAGAATGGTCCTTAAATTTGGAGAGGATTGATCTGAGAGGCACCTTGTTCCATAGAGTCTGCCATTTTATATCAGATTTGATCATCCCCGAATTGCTTTCGCAATCCATTTTGGGACCTAATTTACAGCCATGTTGTTGTTGTTAGTCGTTTAGTCGTGTCCGACTCTTCATGACCCCATGTACCAGAGCGTGCCAGGCCCTCCTGTCTTCCACTGCGTTGGGTCAAATTCATGTTGGTTGCTTCGATGACACTGTCCAACCATCCCATCCTCTGTAGTCCCCTTCTCTTGCCTTCACACTTTCCCAACATCAGGGTCTTTTCCAGGGAGTCTTCTCATGAGATGGCCAAAGTATTGGAGCCTCAGCTTCAGGATCTGTCCTTCCAGTGAGCACTCAGGGTAGATTTCCTTCAAAATGGATAAGTTTGTTCTCCTTGCAGCCCAGGACACTCTCAAGAGTCTTCTACAACACCACAATTCAAAAGCATCAATGCTTCGGCAGTCAGCCTTCTTTATAGTCCAGCTCTCACTTCCATACATCACTGCTGGAAAATCCATAGCTTTGACTAATCACACCTTTACAGCCATAGGTAAAGGTAATGGTTCCCCTTGACAATTGTACAGTCATGTCCGATTCTAGGGGGCGTTGCTTATCTCTGTTTCTAGGCCATAGAGCCAGTGTTTGTCTGTAGACACTTTCCGTGAGTACTTGGCCAGCAGGACTAGACACGGAATGCCGCTACCTCCCCACTGAAGTGGTACCTATTAATCTACTTGCATTTTTACATACTTTTGAACTGCTGGGTTGGCAGGTTTACAGCCATAGAGGGATTCAATTTATTTTATTTTATTTTATTTCTATATTACCCAACTTAGTGAAAGCCACTATTCTGGGTGGTTTACACAAGAACATAAAATAAAAGAATATTAATCCCACCAACTTCTACTCCACAACAAATACAATGAAAAACATATCCAAATCCAAATCAGGCAAACCATATTGTGGCATGTAATATAGTACATAGATTACAGGTAGTGAATTAACAGGGGTGTATGTTATTAAGAGTCTCTTTATATGGGTCTGCTTTCACCAGTTTCCCGAAAATTTGGAGGGGGCCAATGGGGTACCTCCAATGGGAGACAATTCCACTGGGACAGGACCAGCAGAAGGCCTACTTACTAGTCGATATTCTTCTCACCTCTCTTGATGTGGCCACCCTCGGTAGTGAAGCCTGGAAGGACTGGGTGAAATGGATAGCTGTTCTTTGAGTAAGATGCTCCAACAGATGTTGAGATCCCAAACTATTAAAGGCTTTGTATGTGAAAACCAGCATCTTGAATCTGGCATGAAATTAACAGAGAGACAGTGTAAGTGAGCCAGGATCAGGGAGATATTGTCAGATTTACTCATAACAGAAATTAGTCTGGGAATTTTCATACCATCTTCAAAGGCAGTCCCAGATAGAGAACATTACACATTCTTGAGATTACCAATGCATAGACCTGTGTTGTCAGGGATCTCCTGTCCTGATAGGGATGCAAGTGAGCAATCCAACTACAGTAAATTGGAAAAAGGTGCTTCTGGTCACAGCAGAGATTCATTGTCCCGCTGAAAATACCGAAATTGCAAACCTGGTCTTTTAGGGGGAGTGTAACTGGTAGTATTTCATAAAATTTTGAACCCATCTGGATTATTTACTGAGACCTGTAGCAAAGTTTCAAATGCAGTTAGTTGTCTAGTCAGTGGCTTGTGCTTTCACTACTTGAAGGGAAGAAAAATGAACAACCTGAAATATTTGAAACCAGGAGGGTGAGAAAGTACTTGCTCAATTTAACAGTTGCACCCATGATTTGGGAACATAACTATTATACAAATCTCTTTATTGATATAAATCACAGTTTTTCCAACATATGAATTGAGTCCATTTGTCAACATCAGAAAATAAAGGATGGCTAAGGAAGGGAAGGGCAATGGGGATGGAGCAGAACAAAAATCTTGCTGTCAGTTCTTCCAAATTT